GACGCTTGCACTGCCCCCAGGCTGGAAAGAGGACTTCATGGAGACAACAGCGCCGTAGCAGCGAACGTCTCAACTTTGTACCGTCGCGAAGATGCAGATGCTGCTTCTTCATCTCTTTCATCTGCTGCTCACGTCCTTTTTTTTTTTTTTTTTCTGAAAACACAATTATATCTCCTCTTCAGCTACTCTTCATCCAGAACCATCTTCCACACTTCATCTACAATCTGTTTCAACTCACAATCCATCAAGATTTTTTTTTTCCCCCCTCCTGCATGTTATCACTTGTTCTTGATTTATTTTCACTGATTTGTGCAGTGAGTCAAAAAATAAATAAATAAATAAAATTAAAAAACAAGCCTGAAAAGCAGCTGCTGAGCCCGTCTGCCGCTTTGTTATGAAAAACTAACGTCCATTTCACTGGATTCATTGCATTTATGATGGTTGGTCCTCGAAGAAGGAAAACGATCTGATCCGCTTTACAAAGTGTGATGTAAAATAGAATTATTAATATCTTAAAATCTCACTCCCAGGAAATGTATTAATGAGTTTATGAATCACTTCGTTCCATCTCAGCATTTATTCACGTCATTTACATGTCATTTATTTTAGTTACTCGCTCCAGATAAATGGAGAACGCCCATCTATCTGCTCCTCACCCGCCCGCCCTCTCAAATTTAGGATCCACTGAAGCCCGCGGGTCCAAATGTTTGCTCACGCCTGTTCTAATCGGCTGTTTTAAAGGAACACCACAGTTGTTCGTGTGTTTTCTTACTTTCTTACTGCGTAAAATAATTTCTTTTTTAACTGAATTACACAAACCGACCACAGGAGGCAGCAGAGGCCCGAAGGCTACGTTTGTTTTTTGTGACACGAGCAGTTTGAAAACTTTTTGGTTTTGGATCATAGCAACGAGTGTAGTTGGAGTCATAAAGCAGTGTTCACCCTCTGATTGCTTGCAGCGATTTCCGACGCTACGCAGGTCAGACGCGGGCGTCGGAGCAACAGTGAATCCATCCCCTCCATAACAAGTGTAGTGTGTGTGATTGTGTGTGTGATACATCTTATTCCTGGGAGCCTTAAAGCAGTAAACTATTAAAACCACATCACTGAGACGCACTGCGCTGGCTGACACCTTACTTTATCACCGCACACAGACACTGGCACACAGACGTACACACTGGCTGTAGTTTATCGCCTGGACCTCGTCGCCCTGTAAGCACCAGGACATTAATGTCGCCGTGTCTTTAATAAAGTCGCTCCA